CAGAGAAACCCCAACCAACAGAGCTTACAAAACCCTTCTTTTTTCCCCTCCCCCTTCCTGATTTCATCTCTAGTGCAGGGGGCCATGGAAAGAAAGGGATAGATGAGAAGGAGCTGACAACATAGCTGTGGCCAGGGGCCCCATTACTGGACACTTGCTCAAGAAGGAGGATTCGTTGACTGATTGGAGTCCAGCTCTAACTGGGCCACAGTGGTGGGTTTGAGTCCTGCAGATGACTTAGTTCGGTTCTGTCCAGGACTGCAGACTGGATCTCTGACTCTGGCCCTCTGGCTCTTAAATACAGGCCACAGGTCACATGATACAGCAGGCACATTCTCCCAGAAGTAGTGACTATTAGCCAGAGAAAGGGCTGTTTTTAAGTAGAGGAGACAGCTGTTCGGATCCTGGGGAAGCTTCCATTTTGTTTGTGGTTGTGGAGGAGGGGTGTTGAAGGAGTGGGAAATGGCATGAAGGAAACTGTCACTTCCTTTCCAGAGAATTTCAGAAAGGTTTCATGGAGAATGAGGTATTTCAGGAGTGACATTGGCTCTGAGAGGATAAGGAATTGGAGGAGAACTGTGCTGCCTGGCCCAGCTCACTGTCTGGCCCCGGTGTTTCCTGGAATGTGTGAAAATGCCACGAGTGTTACCAGCAATTCTGTGTGAGCCATTGACTCAGGTGATCGAGCCTGGACTTAAACTCTCTCTGCAGAGATTGTGGAGGTGGCTTTCACATCAGAGCTCTTTCCTGTAGGGCACATCCAGATGGGTGGGTGCTAGATGCTACTTGATGTGTTCCTGTGACGGTCCCAGGAAGGAAGGGTCTATACCTCTGAAGGGGGCCCAGTTATGGTGATTCAGAAGCAGCCTAAACCACTACTATTCTGCTTTGGTTTTGAAGTGCAGTCAGAACCACAGAGCCAGAGATGTGTGTTTGCAGGCACGCTTGCCTGTTTGCTCTCTCCTGTGGTACACGCTCCTGCAATGCACATCTGCTTTCAGAGGCCATATGCTATCAACAAGCCATCGCGTTCCATCCCAGTAGGATCAGATCGAATTGGGAGTGGACTTTGCCTGGAGCCATCTGTGAGCTGTGCAGTGATTGGGCAAGGGGATGGAATTCAGCTCCAGTTCTTAAGCTTTCTCAGCTACTTTGATTCCCTGAGCCAGGGGTCTGGTTGTGTCCTCTGACCTCCACTCACTCTGGAGGCAGTGCCTAGGGGGACTCTAGGCCAGTGAAGCTGTGTCCTAGCCAAAGAGCTCTGGGAGGACCCTGGAGAGAAGGGGCCTTTAGTGTGGGCCTCTCTTACCTCCAACAGAGCACACCTTCTGAGGCGGTGGTTTCTTTGGTTTCAGGTTCCTGGGAGAGGGAGGTCATTTTGAGGGACTGGGGGAGAGTGAGTAAACATGCAAATGAGCTTTTCTCCACCTCTCACTTTCAAATCCTCAAACTTCTGAAGTGGGAGGGGGTAACTTTCTGGACCAACCGAAAGGTTCCATGGTAGGTTTCTATGACTTGGCCAAGAGAGTATGGCAGCTGCTTCCTCCCTCTACACCCCTTTGCCTTAGCCTTAGGCAGAACAAGATTACTGGGAATAGCTTACTAAGATCTCACAGCACTAGGCCCAAATTTAGATAACATGAACATGTGGGGACATAGAAGAATGCTGCTGGAATCACCACTCTTATTTCAAATGCTTTCAGACTTTTTGCACTGATGGCTAAAGGTTCCATGCAATCCACCACAGTACCCTGGATGCCTACCTTTCCCCACACTTCTTAGCAGAGTGGACCTGAGGCAGGGCGTACTCACCCAGGGCCCCATAGGCCCCATGCCTATTCCGGAGCTAGCCTTCTCTGCCTGGGAAGCAGAAGTCTGGCCTACCCAGCCCTCCCCCAGTCTTCTGCACAGCATTCACTTGGGCTTGTCCATCTCATCAAGGCAGTTTAGGCAGCCTACCCTGGAAGAGGAGGGAGAGGAGGAGGGGGATCTTGTGGCTTTGCAAGCCAGCCAGACCAGGGCAGCCCAACACAGAGAGGCTCCAACGCTTATGTCCCCACAGTTGGCACACATGCACACACCCAAACATGTGTTTATACCTGCAATGTATTTGCACACTCACAGTGGGCAGATAGTGCATCAGTATAGCTAGTAATGCAAAAATTAAACCAATGTAACCTCTGTGAGTTTGCACAGTTTCCCCATCTGCACTCAGTATACACTTGGCTATATACCATCCCCCAATACACCTCACAGATGCTCACAGACCAGTAACATTCATTCACTGATTTGTAATTAAAAAAAAATTTAAATTTATTTTTACTTTGTATGTTTGAGTGTTTTGCTTGCATGTTCATAAAGTGCACCATGTGCATGCAGTGCCTGAGGAGGCCAGAAGAGGGCATCAGATCCCCTGGAACTGGAGTTATAGACTGTTGTGAGCCATCATGTGGGTGTTGGGAACCAAACCTGTGTCTTCTGTAAGAGCAACCAGTACTCTTAACTGCTGAGCCATCTCTCCAGTCCCCCATTTGTACTTTTATTATTCTTTTTTTTTTTATTTTTCTTTTTTTGTTTCTGCTTGATTTGGTTTGTGTGTGTGTATGTTTATGGGAGGGGCAGTGTGTTCATGTGGGTGCACTCATGTACAGATGCTGTTGCATGTGTGTTTATATCATGCCTGTGGAATCCAGAGGTTGACCTCCCAGATACTGTTCCTCAGGAACTATTCACCTTGGTGTGTGTGTGTGTGTGTGTGTGTGTGTGTTTGAGATAGGGTCTCTGTTGGCCTGGAACTCACCCAGCAGGCTAGGCTGGCGACCTAGCAAGCCCCAGGAATCTGCTTGTCTCCACTTCCCCAGCCCTGGGATAGATTACAAGCTTGCTCCACTGTGCTGGGTTTTTTTTTTTTTTTTTTTTTTTTTTAATGAATTCTAGGGACTGACCTCAGGTTTTCATGCTTGCATAGCAATCACTCTACCAAGTGAGTTCTCTCCGCAGCCCTGGCTTTTGTAGCCCTCAAAATCACTGTGGTGTTTCCACCTCGGATTCCCAAATCCTGGGATTACAGGCATAAACCATCACGACCAACACTGTATCACTGTTCTTTCTAATATTCATTCCATAAAAACGATACTTGCCAAGCACAATTTTACCAATGACCAACAATGGCCAGCACAGTGATTCCTACCATAAAGGAAACCCCTGTTTAATGGGGAAGGGAGGTAAGGAAGTTGCATAGAAATTCCCCCAAGCAAAGAGCGCCATTGGTGAACTTGAAAAAATTAAATGCTGGCATAGAAAGGGAAAACAAGAAGGCAAACAAACCTGAAAGGAAGGGACACGGAGAATGACCTTGGGGGAGGGAGTTTCATGCTTAGACAAAGTGGGATTAGATGAAAGTGACCACCTTTCCTTTGATTAGTATGAGAATGTTTCTAGGGGCAGATAGACTGGCCTGTAGGAGGGCAGGAGCTGGGGAATGCAGGCCTTGGGGCGCCTTAGGCTAGGGGAGACCAGACACAAATGGCCCTGCAAGGCTTTGCAGGCCTCAGGGGACAGGGTCACATGCAGGGTTTGAGGGGGTGGAGCAAGGTGGCAGTGGTGGAACCAGGACAGGGCAGTCCCGCTGGGGGCAGATCTAGTAGAGTCTTGTCTCTTTCGTCCAATGAGAATCTCATCCCTGATGGGTTGAGCTGAGCAGAGTGACTTTTCTCCAGGCTTTTTGATGGGGTAGGTGGAAAGGTGTGGGGGTTGGGGTGGAGATTGGGCGGGGCCAGCCCTGTGGGCTAACGGAAAGGAAGTGGGAGAGGCTTGGGTGTCTCCTGTGGCAGAGGGCGGTCATCAGAGAGGTCACCCATGGCCCCATCCTTTACCCCCTCCCCCTTTGCCCATCTCTGAAGTTCCTCATTTTGTTCCCAGCCAAGACAAGGTTTTCAAGCTTTTGGCACTCTGGCACTACAGAGAGAGTTTGAGTGTGTGTCCAGGAGTTGAGGGGTGTGTGTGTGTGTTTTCCTTTCTTCAGTCACTGGGGCTTGGATCAGTCTGCTTGTAGTTATCTACATACTGAAAACACACCACACACTTCAAAGAAACCTGAAGGGCCAAACACCTGGTACCTGGACAAAAGCAGAGGTGAAAGTGTTCCTTCCTGGTGGAGGAGCAGAATAGGCTGGCGGGAGGGAGGTCTGTGGAGACTAGGGCTTCGGGAGCTGGTCATGGGCTTGGTCATGCTAGAGGCGCCGTAGGACACTGGCAGTGGAGGAGTGGAGGCCAGGAAGCAACAGGCAGCCCCAGTGCCTTGTGAGCATAGGAGGCACTGATGAGAGAGACTTGTGTGGGCTGCAGCAGACTGAGATTTCCTGGAAAAGGGGGGCTGAGTCAGCCCTGGAGAATAGGGAAGGTTCTGCTGGCCCCTCCCGCAGCCGGGGCTCTCCTCATAAGTTCCCAGGGTGATGGTTCAGTCTTGAAACTGAAAGCAAAGCTAAACCAAGAACATAAACCCACACACTGCACAGGCCAGAGGCCATTCTCTAATGGGCAGTGGGGGCAGGGTGCTGATGAGCACGGAAAGCATGTGACCTACCTGCTTCTCTGTCTTCAAGCTGTCTGAGGGCATGGCCCAATCTGATGGTCCATTCCTGGAGAGCAGGATCAGGCCACCACCATCCCTTATACCCCCCACTCCAAGTGAGACATTTCTTTCTCTTAGACTGTCCTCCAGAGCCAACTGGTCCCCACTCCTAAGGTAAACTGAGCCCAAGAGCACCCTGTGTTTCTTGTATCCTCTCTCATACACAGCCGCTTGAGTCTTTGCCAAGCCAAGAGAATTACAGGGATTCTTCCTGCTGCTGCCCCCATGCCTGGCCAGGCCCCTTTCTGCAATCTCTGCTGACAGTCTGTCTGGGCATGGCTGGTGTCTTCAGGTTTACCAGCTAGCCTGGCCACAGAATTCAAGAAAGGTGACTTACTCAGGGTTCCTATTCCTTCCTTCTCTTCAGGTCAAGTCTGTTGTTGGCACACTCCAGCATGCACCCTTGAGCTTGATATAGACCACCACCTTCTCCAGCTCTGGATATCCTCTGCTGTGGTCCAGAGACAGCTCTAGAACCTAAGGCACCTGAACAGCATCTCTTCATCAGGAAACCCACTGAAGCTCTGAGAGCCCAAGAAATCACACCATCAGCTCTCCAAGAATCTGGCATGGCTATTACCATGCAACCCAGTGATCTGGTCTTTGAATTTGCAAGCAACGGGATGGATGATATCCACCAGGTATGGCCCCCAACAATAAAGCAAAGTTAGTCAACACAGGTGATCAGGGGAACACAGGACACACAAGCAGCCATCCTGTGAGCCCAGGGGTTTGACACCTAACTAGTCAGCAAATACCAATCAGGCACCTGTTATGTTCAGAACACTGGGCCTGCTTGTCAGCCAGCCTGTGCACCACCTATACCTTTATAGGAGCCATTGGATGGATGGTCACTTATGGAGCTGGTTGGCCGTATGCCTTTATAAGATGTGCAATCACCAAGTTGGCCAAGTAACTGCTAAAACCAGCTGAGCTATCATCTCGTTTGCAAATGGGACTGAATGTGCACTATATTCTGATCATCATGTAGGTTTTCCACTGCTTCTCTTCAGCCCCAGTGTCACATGAGAAACTGCTGGGACAACCACATAGCAAAGAGGGCACTGCCAACTGGAATTACAATACGGAATTGGAAAAAGAGCAACAACAACAAAACAATATGGAATTGGAGTCCTAGCATCTTTAGACTCATAGCTGGAGCCTAGTTGATGGACTCACCCATACTGTGTTTTCTGTCTGAGGATTCAGGATATGCTGGAAGTGGAGTTTGGGAGCTGGAGGAAGTCAGAAAATAGGATAGGATTCTGGCACTCAGGTCCTCCTTGTGCTACACAGAAGCCAGGAGGGCATATTTTCCATGTTTCTAGATGTCCCACTACCTTCCTCTCTGCTCCTTTTGCAAAATGGAGAAAGATGGGGCAGCCAGGCATGGTAGAAGGAATGAAAGAGTAGAAATCAAGAATACTGGATTTTAAGCCGGGCGTGGTGGCACATGCCTTTAAACCTAGCACTCGGGAGGCAGAGGCAGGTGGATCTCTGTGAGACTAAGGCCAGCCTGGTCTATATTAGGAAGTCCCAGGCCAGCAGCTGGGGCCACAGGGAGACCTTGTCTCAAAAAAAAAAAAAAGAATACTGGGTTTTGATCTCAGTTTGGCCACAGTGTCACCTAGCCAAGTCCTGACCTTCACCCTACCCCTGACATCTCCCAATCTTGTCCAAGAGGAGATCCAGCTGGATTATTTCCAAAAGCATCTCAACAAAAAGTCCATGCTTTCTGATGGACCTGGTGGCACATACCTTTAATCCCAGCATCTGGGAGGCAGAGGCAGCCTGGTTTACACAGCGAGTTCCAGGCGAGCTTGAGCTATAGAGTACAGGGGAGACCCTGACTCAAAAAGACAAGGGGGCGGGGTGGGGGGCAGTCCATGCTTTCTATCTATGTGAGGGTAGAAAACACTCCTACTGGCTCTGCCAAAGGCTGCCCTCTAGTGGACCTTGAGCGCATTGTACTTTCTGTTCAGCTGGTTCTCAGACAAGCTAGTTCAGTTGATCCTTCTGGGTTACATCGTCTCACAGAAGACATCCAGTAAGAAGGGAAGAAAAATTTAACCCTACCTGGATTTTCAGTGCCATTTTTCATCTTTCATTTGTTTCCAGTCCCCTCAGCAACTCTTTCTTCATACTCCCAAGCATTCCTCTACCCTTAGCACACAACCCCTCACTTGGGAGAAACTCGAAGCTAAGGCTGCCCTTAATTTCCCTCTCTTCTTCATCCTCTGTTCTTATTTCCTTCCTATTGTCCTAAGGAGAAAGAAGTACTCCTCCTCTTCCATGGGGTCACTCTTACCCCTTCACATAATCTGTTCTCTCCTACCTTCTTCAAGATCTCAAAGCATTAACCACCTTCTTCCTCCCTGCCTGCTTCTTCCTCCTTTCTTCCCTCTCTCTCCCCCTCCCTCTCTGTTTCCTCCTCTTCCTTCCTCCCTGCCTCTATTCCTCTTCCCCTCTTGTCTCCCCACCCACTGTCTCTCAGACCTCTCAGATATAACCACTAAAGATGTCCCTAACGTTAAAAGAAAACGTTCTGTAGATAGGCATGGTGGCCAGCACTCGGGAGGCAGAGGCAGGTGACCTCTGTAAGAAAAGAAAACCCTGTCTTCCTTCTGCCTCCCTACTTCAAAGTACCAACTTATTAGCTTCCCCCAAAGGGTAGTCTCCATCCTATGCTGTTTACTTTCTCATCTGCCTTTTATTTTTCAAAGGAAACTATTTTTACTGTGAAATGTCAAGAATACAAAAAAAACCCCATAAATCATAGATAGTGGATGTAGGATGGATGGATGGATGGATAGAAAGAAAGAAAGATGGATGGATAGATAGATGGATAAATAGATGGATAGATAGATGGATGAATGGATGGATAGAAGATAGATAGATAGATAGATAGATGATAGATGGAAAATATATTCATGTGCTTACCACCCAAGTCAAGAAGGAAAACATTATTCGTTTCATAGAAGCCTCAGATACCTACTGATAACTTACTATATGCCAGACATTATTGTAAATGCATTATGTATGCTGATCTTTTTAAACAATCTATGGGGTTCATAATCTGAGTAACCCACTTAAAATATTTTATTTAATCCAGGCATGGTGGCACATGCCTTTAATTCCAGCACTTGGGAGGCAGAGGCAGGCAGATCTCTGACTTTGAGGCCAGCCTGGTCTACATAGTGAGTTCCAGGCCAGCTGGGGCTACAGGGAGACCCTGACTCAAAAAAGACCAATTTTTTAAAAATTTATAACCCACTTTTATAAGGGAGGAAACTGAGGAAACTGATACACAGAAACATTAGGAAGCCTTCCCAGGGTCACAATACTAGTAAGTAGCAAACCTTGGTTTCAAATCCTGGCAGTGTGGCTCCAGATCAGCACAATCTAATACAATTTTCTGGAATGCTATAAATGTTCTATATTGGGGCTGGAGGGATGGCTCAGCAGTTAAGAGTACTGGCTGCTCTTGCAGAGGACTCAGGCTCAGTTCCCAGCACTCAGATGGTAGCTAACAACCATCCATAACTCCAGTTCTAGGAGAATCTAACACCCTCTTGTGGCTTCCCCCAGCACTGCATTCATGTGGTGCACTTACAGACATGCAGGCAAATTTATATATACATATAATTTTTTTAATGAAAGAAATATTCTGTATTTGTGCTGTGTAATATAGGGCCACTAGTCACATGTGGCTTCAGAGCATTTACAGTGTGGCTGTACACTGAGCCCTCACCATTACCATCAATTAATCCTTTCCCACTAGTGTTAGAGTAAGCTCAACTCTTCTTATAGACTCATCCCTTACCCCAGACCATGGATGAATACAACAAGTTAAAAATGTTTGCCCAGATCCTGGTTTGGTAGTACATGCCTTTAATCCCAGCAGTTGGGAACTCAGGTGGATCTCTGAGTTTGAGGACAGCCTGTTCTACATAGCAAGTTCCAGGCCAGCCAGGGCTATGCAGTAAGATCCTGTATCAAAAAATAATGCTTGCCCAGGCTGGGGCTATTGCTCAGTGTTTGCCTTATGTTCAATCCCCAGTGCTGCACAACACAGAATACTTAACTGAGTGCAGGTTCTGCAGAGCTAAGCTATCTCTATTAATCAATTCCCACTTAAAGCATCAATTAGAGGCCCAGTGAGATGGCTTAGTTGGTAAAGGCATCTGATGACCTGAGTTCAATCCCCAGGACCCACATATGATGAAAGGAAAAGACAGACTCCTACAGGTTGTCCTCTGACCTACACACACACACACTGTGGCACGCCCTGCCCCATGTAATAAAAAAAAATCACCTAGTGAGGTTAGCCTTAGTATTTGGTAGGGTGGGCTTCCTGGATGAGGTGGGTGGAGCTTGACTCTGATCTCTGTCTTCTCCATAGCTGGAAGACCCTTCAGTGTTCCCAGCTGTGATCGTGGAGCAGGTCCCCTATCCTGAATTACTGCATCTATACTCAGGATTGGACCTGGATGAAGTCCACAATGGGATCATAAGAGATAGGACCTTGTGCATGACACAGGATCAGGTCCTAGAGGGAAGTTTTTTGCTTGCAGGTATGCTCCCTTTCTGGACAGGGAAGGTGTATAGTGGAAAAAGGGGTTCTGTCTTCAGGGAAAACCAGCCCATAATGGCTTCTAGTAATTCTACACAGAATGGGCAAGGCTCCCCAGAAATGGAGAGGAGGGAACCATTTTAGTCCATCCACGAACTCTTTAGATGGTAGTGGCACAAATAATGGAGACCAGCTGATGGGGTGGAGAATTTGGGTGGGAAGGGCTCTGGTCCTTGCTCAGCTCTCCCATAGAGTCCCGGTTCTTCCACTCTGTACCACTCTGTTAGCTTGGGCTGGCCCTGATTATAGCTATACTGAGAAGTCATGAAACTCTCTTTTCCTCCCACCCTATGAAACCTCAAACTAGATGACAATGAGGCCAAGTCACATAACACGTCATCTACGGAAGTCTTACTCAATGTGGAATCTCCCAACGACATCCTGGATGAGAAGCAACTCTGTAAGTTTGAACTCCAGTGCCTGAATTCAAAGTGACAAAAAGCCCCCTTTCAAATGCCATATCCATGTGTGGGATTCTCAGGTACACATGCATGCACTTCTAGGTACCCACACCTATCAATACACACTCGAAGAGACTCAAACTGGAGCTGGCAGGAGAGGGGCAAGGAGAAGATGTCTAAGAAAACTTTAGTGGTATTACTCCAATTTTTAAACTGTGGCAAAATACACATAAAATATATTATTACCTTAGCCATTTTGAAACTATAGTTCAGTAATGGCAAGTAGTTTCACATTGTTGGGCCACCATCACCACTATCTCTAGAGCCCTTTTCATCTTATATACCTGAAAGTGTTGCCACTAAACAACTCCCCAGTTCTCTCCCCTAGCCCCTGGCAACCACCATTCTATGTCATCTATATGAGTGTGTCTATTCTCAGTACCTCATGAATGGAAGCATACAATATTGGTCTGCTTCTGACTGGTTTATTTCACTTAGAATCAGGTACTCAAATTTAGTCTATGTTGTAGCACATGTCAGAATCACTTTTGTTTTTAAAGTTTTTTATTTTCTTGTGTCTTTTTGAGACAGGGTCTCCCTGTAGCCCCAGCTGGCCTGGCACTCGCTATGTGCTATGTGGACCAGGCTGGCCTTGATCTCATAGAGATCTACCTGCCTCTGCTTCCCAAGTGCTGGGATTAAAGGTGTGGGCCACCACGCCTGGCCTAAAATTTTTTAATTAAAAAAATTGGGGCTGGAGAGATGGTTCAGTGGTTAAGAACACTGGCTGCTCTTGAGGACTCACGTTTGGTTCCCAGCACCCATATGATGGCTAAACAGTTCATAAGTTCAGTTCCAAGGGATCTGATGCCCTCTTCTGGCCTCCTCAGGCATTTCATGCACATGGTGCATTTACATACATGCAGGCACAGCACTCATACACATAAAATAAATAAATAAAATATTTAAAATTTTTTTCAGATGTGGGGGCTGGAGAGATGGCTCAGCAGTTAAGAGCAGTGGCCGCTCTTACGGAGGACCTGGGTTCCATCCCCAGCACCCACGTGGTGGTTAACAACCATCCATATGTAACTTGAGTACCAGGAGATCCATCACCCTCTTCTGATCTCTGAGGGCATTGCACAGCATGGGTGCACCTACACACATGCAGACAATACACTCACACACACACACGCACACACACACACACACACACACACAAATAAATAAGTTGTTAAAAAACACTTTCTGATGCATTTTATGTGTATGGGTGTTTTTTTTTTTTTAATCTTTTTGAGACAGGGAACAGACCAGGCTGGCCTTGAACTTACAGAGCTCCATCTGCTTCTGCCTCCCAAGTGTTGGGATTAAAGGCATGTGCCACCACCCTTGACTGTGTATGAATGTTTTGCCTGCATATATGTAAGAGCACCAAGTGTATGCAGTGCCCGTGGAGGGCAAAGAGGATGTTGAATTCCCCTGGAACTGTCATTACAGATGGTTCTTAGCTGCCATGTGGGTGTTGGAAACTGAGCCCTGGTCCTCTGCAAGAGTAGCAATTGCTCTTAAGCCTTGAGCAATCTCTTCAGCCCCAAGAATGTAATTCTTTTTTGGTCTTTGAGACAGGGTCTCCCTGTAGCCCCAGCTGGTCTAGAATTTGCTATGTAGACCACTCTGGCCTCAAACTCACAGAGATCTGCCTGCCTCTGCCTCTTGAGTGCTGGAATTAAAGGCATGTGCCTGCATGTATGTAAGTGCACTAAATGTGTGCAGTGCCCATAGAGGTCAGAAGAGGATGTTGGATCCCTTGGAACTGGATTTAAGGATGGTTGTGTGCTGCCAAGTGCTGGGAACCAAACCCAGGTCCTCTGCAAGAACTGAAGTGCTTTTAACCACTGAGGTGTTTCTCCAGCCCAAGGATCTTTCCTTTCTAATGCTGAATATTAGTGGTCAAGGAACTTTACAGGTCTCTCTGTTTAGTTACAGATTTGTAGGTCCTAGGAAGATTAAGAAATGCATGATGTGATTTATTTGGAAATGTATCATTTGTTCCCTGTTCCTAATTTTTTTATTATAGTTCATATTTATTTTGTATGTGTTCCTACATGTGCCACAACAAGGATGTGGAAGTCAGGTGACAACTTTTGAGACTTTGTTCTCTCCACCATGTGGGTCCTGGGGATCAAACTCAGGTTATCAGACTTGCCAGCGAGTGCTTTTACTATTGAGCCATCTCATCAGCCCCCACCCCCTGTTCTTGAAAGCCAGACCCTAAGAGGACTCAGATATCTGCTGGCCCTCTGTGGCTCCCTAGAAGGTTCCCAGGGCAGTTCCTCCCAGTGCCATTTCCAGCAGGTGCTTTAACATTACAGGAGAGCGCCCTCTCAGTTGCCCTTGCCCAAGAGGGATCTATGAAATAGTAAGGGAACAAAAATCCCTGAGGTTAAAAGGTAAGAGATTATTTTCCTTCCCTCTCGCTAATATTCAGCCAGGACTCAACAAATATTGACTGAGTGCCAACATGTACCAGTGTTGCTGTGTGACCACAGCACATGATTTACTATTTCTTAGTTTCCTTATCAGGAAAGCAGACGAATTGGGCTTATGATTTCTAAGGTCCCTTTGAGTTGTCGGATGAGTAAATGACTAAATCAGTCAAGTCCTTTACCCCTAACACAGCCCAGACCTTTCCCACCACCAGCAGTGGGTGATAAATGTAGCCACTGTGATTGGGGCAGCTCACACCCACAGCTCTGCAGAAGTCTCTTCTCCCTCAAGAGCCCTGAAGCAGTTTCAGGTGTATTGTATGTCCAGGCAGTGTAGAGTGGCATCCAGAGGAGGGCTCCATCCTCTCCCTTTGCCCCACCCATCACAGGCCTTTCTTTTACAGTCGGCACATCTGAAATACTTCCAGACTCAGATTCTGTGCATGGCATCAGTCTGCCCAACTTACTGTTTCCTGCCTCTGAACCTGATATTCTGAATGAGGCAGGTGACCCTGTTGACCAGGGGAAGAATTTTCTGGAGGAGAGGGTCTCCACTGAGGAAAGTCCTAAGAAGATTGTAAAGTCAAGGAAGAGAAGTAAGGAGGCGAGAGACTGTATGTGTGCCTTCAATGGGGTATAGCTTGGGGGGACTGGGAGACCCCAGTGACTGAGTAGTTTGAGGCTCACAGATGCATTAAGAGGGCATCTCTCTGGTCCAGACACTGTTCTCTCAATCTTAGCCTCATTAGCTGTCCTGCCTGAAGCTTGGCATTTCTCATGTTGCTCCTGTCTGCCCAGCACATGCATAAACTCCTCTAGCAATGCCAGTAGTCCCAGTGGGTTGGCTCCTAGGCTGGGTGTTGGGCTACTAGGTTTAGACTCCTGGCTAGTCCCTGGTCCTCTGGGGCCTCCACCTATAAAAATGAGTCATATTGTATGCTTATCTCTCTTCTGTGGTGCTTATGAAGCAAGCTATCTATGGGAGGACTTTGGGCTTTCTCAGTGTTATTGATTTACTTGGCGGATGGCTGCTTAATACTGCCGTTTCAGTATGGCTACTCAAATCTCCATGCCACACTGACCTGCACCACAACAGCACCTTTATGTTGTCTCTCATTTCAAAAGTTAGGTCAGAAACTTCTGCCATAACTGCTGTTCAAAAGATACTTCATTTATAAACCTTGCATTTCCCCAAGTGGTAGTTTAGTTGTGGAGTTACCTTTAGGAACTGAAAGTGATGGTACAGATACCTGTGGGCCATGGCTGTGGAGAAAGATTGGACCTTCAGCCTTGATGATCTGGCTTCCTATGGTTGGTCCTGTGACACCCAACTTGCCCAGCTCACCTGGGTCTTGGTCTCCTGCCTAACCCACCTTCTCTTCATAGTCCGGAAGACCAAGGGCAACCGAAGTACCTCACCTGTCACTGACCCCAGCATCCCCATACGGAAGAAATCCAAGGATGGCAAAGGTATGACTGAAGCTCAGATGAGGTGGGCAGGGTGCCCTATAATGTGCCACCACGCAGCCTGAGCTGCCCCTCACTGCCTACCCCTCTGCAGGCAGCACCATTTATCTGTGGGAGTTTCTCCTGGCACTTCTGCAAGACAGAAACACCTGTCCCAAGTACATCAAGTGGACCCAGAGAGAGAAAGGGATTTTCAAGTTGGTAGACTCCAAGGCTGTGTCCAAACTATGGGGGAAGCAGAAAAACAAGCCGGACATGAACTATGAGACCATGGGACGGGCCCTTCGGTAAGGGCTGCTGGGACACAGAATCCCCACCCTGGGGGAGTCACCAAGCACTTCGTATGCCTAAGGAGGCTCTCCACTTGAAGGAGGGCCTAACCAGTCCCTTTAGGACAACAGATCTACTATCTCTCACCTTTGCTTCCCCAATCCTCCTCTGAGAGGAAAACTTCCCTTCCTCTTACATCTCTGTATTGAAAAGGCACTTTAGCTCCATGCCCTTCAATCCTTAAGAAGGGCTTTCTTCACATTGCAGAAGCCAGAGATGGCCTTGACTTGCTCAAGTTGGTCTCTCAAACCAGGGGACTGTTAGACCTCTGCCATCCATCTCTTCATTCATCCTTCCACCCTTTATTCATTCCCTGTCCTCAGCCCCAAAGAAGGATGGGTATTGTTATTGAAGACCTCCTTCTTTTACACCCTTTAATCTATAGAAAGAAACTTTAGAAATGTCATCAAAAGCCTTCCATGTCCAAGGGTTGGCCATTCACCTTCCCTTGCTCCTGGGCTACCACTACCCAGCCTGCCTCAGTGAAGTAGAGAAGGAGTCCCCACTCAGTCACTGGTTAACTACCCACTTACTCCCCTTCTTGTTCCCTAGGTACTACTACCAAAGAGGAATCCTGGCCAAAGTGGAAGGGCAGAGGCTGGTGTACCAGTTTAAGGAGATGCCTAAGGACTTAATCGTGATTGAAGATGAGGAGGAGAAAATTGAAGCACCAGCAGCTCCCCCTCTGGCCTCTACTTCCGCTACTTCCTCCACTGGCACCACCCGAAGAGCCAGCTCTAGGGTCTTATCCAGAGCTTCCCCCCAGGACAAGACTAGCCTTTCCTGGGAGAAGCCAAAGGTTCAACACACTGGTCTCCAGCCATCTGCAAGCCTGGAGTTAGGGCTGTCTCTGGATGAGGAGGTCCCAACTACCTCCACCATGCTTGTCTCTCTGCCACAGAGCCAGGCCAAGCTCACCAAAGCTGTGAGGTAAGGGCACCAAAGTAATTAGAGTGTTCCCTTAGTCCCTCATGTTGGGGAGGGGGTCAGTTGTCAACTACTTGTAAAGCTCTGCTATGTCTCCAGTTTTGTGGGATCCTTATAGAACTCCCTAAGAAGCAAGTAGGGCACTTGGTCAAGAGAGGAGAAGTGGGGCCAGAGAGATGGTTCAGCTGTTAAGAGCGTGTACTGTTCTTGCAGAGAACCCGAGTTCGGTTCCACGTCGGCGGCCCACAACCGCCTGTAACTCCAGCTCCAGGGGATCCGACACCCTCTTCTGGACTCCAAGAGCACCTGCACTCACATGTGCACATACTCCCACACAGACACACACTCATGAACACAATTAAAAATAAAAATAAATTTCTTTTAAAAAGAGAAAGAGGAAAAGTGACTTGCTTGAAGTCACATACCAGAGTAACCCAAAGCCAGCACTTCATTTGGGGGAGGGACCTCTGCTGCCAGATAGGGCTGCTTCTATTACACCAGTGTCACCAGCAGCTATTTTGTCTGTCTCCATCCCACCAAGCTTCTTCCACTCAACAGAATTTGTTGCAGACATAACACTCTGCCTTCCAGGCCTCTTAGCAAGCACTTACTACTTCTCTTAGAAGCTAAGGGGTCTGCAGTTTGCCCTGAAAATATTGGACTCTGGAGCCGGGTGTGGTGGCACATGCCTTTAATTCCAGCACTGGGGAGGCAGAGACAGGTGGATCCCTGTGAGTTCGAGGCCAGCGTGGTCTACATAGCGAGTTTCAGGCCGGCCAGGGCTACATAGTGAGACCCTGTCTCAAAAAAATAAAAATAAAAAAAGATTGGAGTTTGGGTCATGTCTGCACCTCCTGCTGCTACATTGGTGTGGGTCCTGGGGATTCTCCTTAGAGGAGGGGAGGCAGGAGATTGGAATGATGAGAAACATGAGTTCTGGGCTTCATAGGGCCTACACACACATAAAAATCTCTGTTCTAGTCTTTACCAGTTCTGTGGGCTGTGTACCTCTGTTTCCTCAAACTGTAAAATTAGATTATTCTTATCCAGTTAATGGGCTGTTGGGAAGCTTGAGCAGCATTAGTTATCTAGAATAATCTGATGTGTACAAATTAGTAAATGTTAGCTAGAGCAATAAAGACACAAAATACCTGCAGCTCCATTCCTCTTGTGCCCTCCTCTCTAGCCAGTTAGGATGCCTCCTGCCTTAACCAGCTCTGTTTTCTGTCTCTTCCCAGTACATCTTCAGTGCCCAGTAACATCCACCTAGGAGTGGCCCCTATGGGGCCAGGCTCCACTGTCACCCTGCAGACCATCCCGCTGACTACGGTGCTGACCAATGGGCCTCCTGCCAGTACTACTGCTCCCACTCAGCTCGTTCTCCAGAGTGTTCCAAAGGCGTCAACATTCAGGGACACCTTCACTTGGCAGGCTTCCTTCCCCCTGAGCACCACTTTCCAAGAGAACCAGGTGGCAGCCCCAGGTGCCCCATTGATCCTCAGTGGTCTCCCCCAACTTCTGGCTGGGGCCAACCGTCCGAACAACCTAGTACCTTCCCAGGTCGTAAGTGCTGGGTCAACAGGGCCCAGCACTCAGCCCCCAGGAACTGTCATTGCTGCCTTTATCAGGACTTCTGGCACCACATCAGTGCCTGTGGTGAAGGAGGGGACCCTGAGGCCCTCCTCATATGTTCAGGGTGTGGTGACTGGGCCCCCCATGGAGGGGCTGCTGGTTCCTGAAGAGACCCTGAGGGAGATCCTGAGGGACCAGGCTCATCTTCACCCACTTCCAAGCCACCTGCTTTCAAGAGGTTCCCACAATCTGAGCTTTACAGGGAGCCAGACCTTTCCTCCCCACAGCCATCCCACTGTTGGTCTGACCCCAGTGGCTGAACTTGAGCTTTCATCAGGTTCAGGGTCCCTGCCTAGTGTGACCACATCTGGGAGCCTGCTGACCAGATCCTCGACTCCAGTTTCTTTTCCCCCATTCAACCCCACTTCCCTAATTAAGATGGAGCCCCATGACAAGTAAACAAAGGGGTCAGAAGTAAGACCCACCAGGCAAAACAAACATTTTCACGTGGACTTAAGTAGCATACCTGCCCTTACATTTAGTGGGATGTGATGCTTTTGCACCCCATTCCTCCAGCCCTGTCTGGCATCACCATGATCAAACTATGTCCAGCTCAAGCATCCCTGATGTCAGACCACTGCCTTTCAGGAGCACTAGGGGATATGCTCTTGGCAGGATAATTGGCTGACTTGGTGATGGAGGGAAAATTCTGAGCCAGGAAACACCTTGTGTCCAGGGCTAGTGAGGGGCTTTGTAAGAATGGTTATTCCTTACACAGGGAACTCCCCATCCCATATGTGAATATCTATGTACGTAATTGTGTGTACTTTCTCAGATTTGTGTGAGGGCTGGGGTGTAGCTGTGAGGTGTGTATGTGTGTGTGTGTGTGTGTGTGTGTGTGTGTGTGTGTAGGTCAGCCACAGATAGGAGACCATTTTTAGGAGAAAGCACTCTCTACTTTGTACAAGCCACAGTGCCATTGCTCTGAGACTACAAGGTACAGGTTTGGATGTTTCCAGTCTGGAGAGATGTCTGCAGAGCTGGAAAGCTTCACTGGGTACACATGTTGGAAAGACACTGCTAAGAGACAAAGCAGTAGGCTAAAACCATGAAGGGAGGGAAGGGAAGAGCTCAGCATGCTCCATGGGCTCATTTCTCTGCATAGTCACTTTGCCCCAGGCTGGAACCTAGAGGACTTTGCTGAAGGTTGCGAGGCAAAGCACTTCTCTAGAGTCAGCCCCAATTATAAAGTCCCTAGCCAAGCCTGAGTTGATTGAATGTTTGTAGCTAGACCTTTGGTTTCTTTGTGTAAGATCAGCCCTATGTTGGACAATAGCCCTTTTTTAGGCATACTGCTACCCACATCCTATCCCAGGTTCCCTCACTACTTTTGCTCTGAGATGTTCCAGCCATCAGGAGGAGTTGCTGAGGCCATAAGGGTGGTAGCTCAGCTTGAGTCTGCGTTTCTGCTCCTGTGTGCACGTGTGAGATTCGCCTACCACATACTCCTTGCTGTCTGTCCCACCCTGTCTCATGATGACTACAGAAGACCTCAGGTGGATCATTGCTCCTCACTTCCAACTGTTGCCTCTAACCTAATTCTTTCTTAACCAAGAAAACAGGAGCCAGCATATGTGAGTTCCATGGCGCTGCTCTTGTCTGCACATGGCTCCTGACATCCCTCTTTTCTGTTAATCTCTCTTAAAATCAGCCTTTCAGCCTTCATCTCTCCCTGTGTTTCTTTTCCTAAATCTGCTTACCTAGCTCCTGCCAGGTTTAGGGGCAATGCTTAGAGATGTTGGGCTCAGAAGCATTTCCCTGAATCTGCTTGCCTATCTCTTGCCAGGTTTAGGGGCAATGCTTAGAGATGTTGGGCTCAGAAGCAACTCTAGCCTCTGGTGAATTTGGTTAATGTGAATCAGGACCTTTGCTATGTCCTCTGTGCCAAAGCGCCCATTTGACCTAACTACCTCCCTGGCTGCTCTTTCCTCTTATGGTCATCATCTCCCGCCGTTCTCTCTCCTTCCCCGGGGAAGGAACCATCTGTAGCTGTGCAGGTGCATTTGTGTTTCCTGTGATTGGCACTGAAATGTCTTTTCCAGTAAAATCTGCTTATTGTGATAATCTCTTGATGGTTGGAAGTAAGCGTCTTGAGAAAAGGTCACTATTGTTGCTGTTGTTGCTGCTGCTGTTGTTAGTGGTGGCAGTTTTGTTTTGAGACAGTGTCTCATATAACCCAGGTTGACCTTGAGCTTGCTATATAGTTGAGGATGACCTTGAAATTCTGGTCCTCTTGCTTCCACTTCCTGAATGCTGGCATTTATAAGTGTGCACCACCACTCCTAGTTACGTGGTGCTGAGGATCAAATCCAGGATTTCATGCAGGCTAGTCAAACACCAACTACCAACTGAGCTACATCCCCAGCTCAACCATTTTTTAATGTGCAAAAAGGCACAGTGTGGTTGGAGTGGCCCTGCATCAACCTGAAGTTAATTTCTGTACATAATCCCTAACTCCAAGGAAATTCATTATAAGGCTATCAAGATTCTTATGATCATCAGTCTTCTTCATGATTCTCAGCCCTTGAGAGTAGTCCAGGGTCACTGGGCCCTTCTACCCCTATGTCCTTTCTCTGGGTGGGTTCCTCATCATATTCTCTCTCTGTCTCTCTCTGTTCTGTCCCTGTCCCTGTCTCTCTCTCTTTCTCTCTCTCTCTCTCTCTCTCTCTCTCTCTCTCTCTCTCTCTCTCTCTCTCTCGTCTTTTTGAGACAGGGTCTCCCTGTAGCCTCAGCTGGCCTAGAACTCGCTATGTAGACCAAGCTGGCCTTGAACACACAGAGATCCGCCTGCCTCTGCCTCCTCCTGAGTGCTGGGACTAAAGGTGTGCGTCATCACACCCAGCTCCTCATCGTCTCTTAAATGCAGGTGTTCTCCAAAGGTCTCACCATTGTGGGCCAGCCAGATCTTTCAGATTCATATTAAATCCAGGGCCTGCTTTTCTTCTAAGTCCCTGGCTCTAGGCTTTAGTGATCTGCTGGATGTTTCCCCATAAACATCTTTTAGCCCCTTTATCAAATGTGAATTTTTAAATTATTTTTACAGCCACAGTTAAAAAGCAAAAGTCTGTCACAACTTGCCTATTTCTGTTAATGATGCCACCATTTTCCTGACTTCTATGCTGAAAATTTCAGAGCTACCTGGTGGCTGCCAGGATTTGACCCTATCCCTCTCCATCTGACATCACGCCCATCTCCATTCCCAAAGTTACCATGACTCATGCTACCTAGCTTCCCCCTTTCCCACACACAACACCCTGCCCAGCGTGGCCTCTGAACACCTCCCAACTTCCAAGTCACTGATTTGTCCTTCCTCTGCTAAAAAGCCTTCAATGAGTCCCACAGGTAAAATACTTATCCTCCAGTCTTTTCTAAGGGCCTAGCATTAACTCTTTAGTTCCTGAATCATGAAGCAGGAATGGTGGAGCATCTGGAACACTCAGGGCAGCAATTGCAGAAAGATTTTAAGCTTGGTATCAGTCCCACCTGGAAAGAAAGCACCAAGTCCGTGGCCCTTCACTATTGGTTTCACTAATATTGTCACCCACTCGGGCTGTTCTCCACCTCAAGGTGCTCCAAAAGTATTCGCTGGACTTTGAACATGACTTTGTTGAAAATTCTCATCTGTGCTTTAGCTTTACTGGGCTCCGTTCAACCCAAATGCTCTTACTGTCTTCCTATTAACAACTGAAAATTGTGTCTGTCTTTCCAGTCTTAATTCATCGAACCAGTCAATTCTTAAGGTGAATTCTTTATTTCCAACTTCTATCTGCCACTTTATGGGCAATGGATTATAAACAGCCTGTGATATCACTATTATAATCACAAACGGTTACTTAAATCTTTGGTGATCTGTTTAGTCTCCTGAGTGTGACCTCCCAAGGGGCAGGGGCCACTGTATCACCCACAGAACCCGGCACACTATAAAGTAGATGAGCATCAATGAATAGTTACTGATTGATCTGTTGGGGATAGAGACCAAACTTTGAGGTAGGTGACCTCTGTCCTCCCGTTTGCACAGGAACTTACCCCAGGTGCTTCTCTGCCCAGGGCTTGCCCTCCCTGGCTCAGGACCCCCACGGTACACCCACCCCCCCATCTCAACCACCCCCCATCTTAAAATCTAAGATTTGTTGTTACTTTGAACATCCTCTGTCCCTAAAGAAACATCCCTGTCCCATTTCCTTCCTACTCAGTGTTAAATTAGCTAATTGGTTAACTAACCGATGCTGGTAGAGTTATGGGAGAGGGCTAGAGAATCTCAGGAGACAGATTTACTTTAACCAGAAGAGTCAGGCCAGCAACATCCCTGCTTTTGTGATGGTCTAATAGAGTCAGGAGTCAAGTGATGATCCCACACCTCCCAGCAGCTGATATGTGACTCCCTCCTCCTGGCTCCCACAGCACTTTGTATATACCTCTTATTGTAGCACATAGCACATTGTAGTTCTTTAATTGTGTTTATATTATGTTTCCCCTCCAATAGACTGTGAGCTCCTCAAGGACAGGAGCTGTGTGCTAGTCAGTGATGTATCCCCAGCACCTAGCCACAGTGCCTGACACACAGCAGGTGCTCAATAAATGTTTATTGAAAGGATGAATGAGTCCAGATTCCAATTGTGGGAGCTTCTACCCTCCATGATGGCAAGAAGAGGACAGAATTCAATCCGTACTCAGGAGCTATCACTGTGTTTTATTGTTATTTTGGGGGGCTGTGGACAGTCATGTAGCCCAGGATGGCTATGTGACCAATCATGACCTCCCCAGTGCTGGGGACTATAGGCATTTGTCACAACATCCAGCTTATTTGGTGCTGGGGATTGAACCCAGTGCTTCATGCATGCTAGGTAAACACTACTAACTGAGCTACATACCCAGCCCCTATCACAGCATTTGAACCATCAGAACACTTCAGGCATCGACCCCTGGACACCTGGGTTTACAAGTTCAGAGCTGCTTCCAGCTATGCCTTGTTGGCAGGCGACTCAAGAACAACTGCTGTTCACCACTGCCTCCCTTCCAGCAACTATTTCCTCATTCTCGGGTGGGACTGAGGTAGAAAAGTCATCCCTCAAGGAATTTTTCTCCTGGTCACAAGCCGGCTGACTACTCTGAAAGAGGTAGTTGCCTCAGGCTTTGGAGTTGCTAGGTCCAGGTGAGAGAGCTCTCTCCTTGGCCTCCCAGTACCTGCAACTCCCAGCGCTTCTGCCACCATCGTGCGTGGAGGACAACATCCAGCAGGTGATGCTGCCGAGCGGGTGCCGGCAGTCAGGCGGGTGGCTCAGGAGCTCAGGAGGGCGTGGCCTATCGCTCTGGCTTCCTGTTCCTTGGCTATGCCCCTTGGCCCCCAACTGCTGGGCAGCTCCGGTTCCGCCCACAACCTCTTTTGCTCCGCAGTTTAGAACTTTCCCTTTGGGCCCCCTCCCTTTTGCCAGGGGAGAGTTGGCATCCACGGAAGTCCCCACCCCATTGGTCAGCTGTTCACTGCTCTAGCCCCCAGCCCCAGGTGAGCACGTTGTGGTCTCACACCTCCTCAGGTGCCCTAGAGCCTCAAAAGCAAACCCCAGGCCACTGCCACCCCATCTGTGGGGCTTTGGGTTTAGTCCTCCCAATTCTGTGCCAGTGTTTACATTTTCACGTGCCACCCCTTTCTCTCTTGAATGGGAGTGATTGAGGCGAAGGGCCCCAACTATCTGCCATTTGAACCCGAGTTCTTAGAGAAGGGGCACTGAACCCCGGAGGCGCCTACACCCAGTGATGCTACACTGCAGTGGCCAGCTCCGCCTTGTGGTGGAAGCTGCTACTCTAGAGAGAAATAGAGCCCAAGCCTGCCCTGCTCCTGAACCCAGTCGGCCCAAACATTTGGCGACAACCTCGCAGTAATGCAGGATGCCCTGGGCATACCCCACCCTTCCTAAAACACACATCAAGACCAGACACCCAAAATGCCCAACAGGCTTCCTGGTTATTGGGCTAGACTATTTGGAAGGGGCATTTTACTGCCCAGTTCACCTCTCCTCCTCTTACATCATCTTGGGAACCATACATGGTCTTTTCTCTAAGAATCCAGACTTGAATAGAGCTACTTCCAATTGCTGAAGAGGACAACGGCTAGTCAGTCATTAAGTGTAGGCTCCTGACCTTGGCCTGGAGGATTAACTAATTCAGCGAAACTATTTTGTTTTCAGTATAGATTCTCTCCCAGCTGTAGAGTGGTAAATTGAGCACCATTTGGCAGATGAGATTAGTCTCTCAAGTAAGGTGGGCCTAGGTAGCAAGCAGTGGGGTTACTTCTTTCATATCCCATACTGGAAAAGATTAGAACATTTAATAAGAGGCTGCTAGTCAGAATGAAGAGGTTTACTATCAGTCCATACCTCCTGCTTTAATCCTTAAATGGGTTTCCAGGTACAGTGGGGTAAGAACCCCAAAGCATGAAAATATGACATGGCTGCTCAATCCTTTTAACTTTCTTCTCTTAGTCTCCAAGTGTTTGCTCAGATTGTCCCCTCAGTCCAATATCATTCCCTGATAACTGGATGCCTACCTTTTTTTTTTTTTTTGGTCTTTTTGAGACAGGGTCGTCTCCCTGTAGTGGGGATGGCCTGGAACTATGTAGACCAGGCTGACCTTGAACTCACAGAGATTCGCTTGCCTCTGCCTCGAGTGCTGAGATTAAAGATGTGTGCCACCACGCCTGGTTGGATGCCCACTTTTATACTTATTTAAGTATGCACTAGGCATCACCTCTCCCAGGACATCCACCCCAATCACCCAAATACTCTTGCCTAGCCTTTTGACCTCCCACAGTATTGTGGGGCTAGCTGAATCCCAACAGTCACAACATAACTTCCTTGACCTACTGACACGTCTGACTTCTGAACTACAGGCTGCTTTTTGTTGATTTGAGATAGGTCTTACCTGTGTAACCCAAGCTGGCCTCAAACCTCCCACCTCCGGCCTTCATAGAAGTGCAATTACAGGCATGCATTACCACACCTTGCTTTGGCTTGTGGTAGTTGTTTTGAAACAGGGTCTTGCCATATAGCCCTGACTAATCTGGTACTATGTATCTCAGGCTGACCTCAAATTCATAGCAATTCTTCTACCTCAGCCCTCTCAAGTGCTGGGATTCCAGGCCTATGTATGCCTGCCTTCCTTTTTTAAATCTTTTTTAAAATATATTTTTATGTGTATGAGTGTATTGCCTGCATGTAGGTAAGTGCACCCATGTCGTACAATGGCCTCGGAAGACAGAAGAGGCCATCAGATCCCCTGGAACTGGAGTTACGGACAGTTGTTAGCTGTCATGTGGGTGCTGGGATTTGAACCTGGGTCTTCTGCAAGAACAACCAGTGTTCTTAGCCGCTGAGCCATCTC